AAGTGGTGAAGAGAGAAATTCCATTAAAAAATTTATTATGTATACAGTTGTTCTGTCTGCACGTATGCTTGCATGCCAGAAGAGGGCACCAGATCTCATTACAGATGATTGTGAGCATGTGGTTGCTGGGAATTGAATTCAGGACCTCTGGAGAAGCTAGTGCTCTTAACCACTAAGCCATCTTCCAGCCCCTGAGAAATTCCATTTATAAAACTCATGTGTACACTTACCAGGGAAGTTAGTGAAAGATATTTGTTGTATTGTTTTCTATACCGTCTTGCAGGTTTGAATATTTTTTTTGTAATAAAATATGCCATTGCATGGAAGAGAAACAAAATGAACCAGATAAAACAGAAGGGAGAGCTGATAACACTGATACAGACACTACAAACTAACATGCACATGTCTGAATATACTGAGAAATGCCAGCAACCTTGAGAAGTGATTCATCACCAAACCATAGAGACAACCTAATGGCAGAGGAAATGGCAGATATTCAGAATTGAAGGAGAGAACTGATTTTTCTTGACCACATTAGATCCAAGGCTGAAACAAAAAGCAGACACACAGATATTCAAATGCATGACATAGACAAAGAAAATCTACTTATGTGAGTTGGAAAAAGATCATAGTAAAATGAAAATCCAAGGAGGGGATTTGAACAGCATATGCATAATAATTTTAAGGATGAAACATAAAATGCACAATCATAGAAAACAGGCACATAAACAAATAAGTAATAATTCTTGAAAAACTGAAACAGATTAGCTAAAAATGTGTAATTACAGCCATAATTTCAGACCTCTTTGCTATAATGCCAAAGTACAGAAGTTAAACAAGAGTCTGACAACTTCTGCTGGGCAATGTTTTGTTGCTTGGTGTCAGGGCAACAAAAGACATTGCCAGGCATATACACTTTCAATTCAATACATTTTCCTTCTCCAAAAGAAACATTTAAGTCTTATGTAAAAGACTGAGAGATATGGAAAAAAATAACAGGGAACAACAGGGGGAAGCTAGACAAATACAGAAATGTAGATAAACTACAAGTCCGTTATCAGGTTCTGTGGACCCTCACATCAAAGCTCATGGGCTACATGGTAACTCTTCTTCTGCTCCACCCAGCTTTTTATCACTGCCTTCCGCTCTGACTTCACCTCACACCACTGACATGCTCTGACAGGGCATGGCTGGACGGTCACCTTTAGTAGTTTCCCCAGGACTCTTAGGTAAGAGTAGAATTTAAGGACTTATGTTGATGATGCTTATGAAAAGTAGGTGGCCTTCAAAATAAAATCAGCACTCTCATCTTAGCTGATTGGTTTGGCTATCAGAATAATTCACACGCAAATGCAGAAAGTGGCTAGTCAAAGAAGGTTTGACTTCAGAATTCTCTACTTTAGTGGTTCTCAACCTTCTTAATAGTGCCAGCTTCTCATACAGTTCCTCATGTTGTGTTGACCCCCTAATCTTGAAATTATTTTTGTTACTACTTCATAACTGTAATTTTGCTACTGTTATGAATTTCAATGTAAATATATGTGTTTTCTGACTGTATTAGGTGATCTCTGTGAAATAGGTCATTTAATTTCCTAAGCGGTTGCAACCCACATGTTAAAAACCTCTGGAGCACGTAAATACACTTGCTGCCAAGACAGATGAAACTCTAATATTGAATACTATTTTAGTTATAAACAAATAATCCATATGCAAATACATGGGCTACATTTTTAATTTCATATCTGCTTAAATTTAATATTTGATCCTTCTGCTGGATCAAATTGTGCCATGTCTATAAAAACATAAAATACATTAGACATCATATTGTTGTCATAGAACACTGATTTCTATTTTAACAATGCTTCAGTTTTTGTTGTGTATATTTTACCAAATCATACTTTAATATATATTAAAATAACATAATGCTCATCATGTCCATTATATAAAAGGCTTTGTTCCATTTCACAATGTTATTTTTATGGTTATTACTGCCATCCTTCAGTGCTCATAAAAATGTGACTGGAAAGCCAGTTTTGAGAATAGAGTGCCTGCAGCCTCCAGCAGCATGTGGGCTTGCCAGCAGGTCACAGAACTAGTTCTGGCTTCTCTAGGCATGCCTTCTTTTGGACAGTGCAACAGGAGGAGATGGCCTGTCTCAGTTCTATGTGTTTGTTCACGATCTGCTATTGGTCCATTTTGCACCACTTTCTGTGCAGCAACCAGAGTGGTCTTTGCAGAGCCTAATGAACAGAGCCTCTTTTGATAACACCCTTCAGGTGTTATCAGATAACACCCTACACTTGTTTTTAAGACAAAGGGAGAACTAGGCAGTGGTGGTGCAGATCTTTAGTCCCAACACTTGGAAGGTAGAGACACAGGGTTTCTGAATTTGAGGCCAGCCTGGTCTACAGAGTTAGTTCCAGAATAGTCAGTGAAGGAAGAAAAACTCTTTACATACACACACCATTAAACTTAACTGGGCCTCTATTCCTATACTCAGCTCAATTTCTCACAATTTTTTCATTTTTTATAAAATATTCAAAAACATAAAATTCAATAAAGGGTCAATTTATACTGAATAATAGTCTGTTTATGATTGCAATATAAAGTTGAATTTTAAATTCCAAATATTCTTTAAACCAATATTCTACATCATTATACTTATACTATAGATATAAATAATACATGCATAGTTTATTTAAATTGTAGATATAAATGACATTTATGTGGATACATATGCATTATTCTTATATTATTATACCACTGGGTATACTTATAAAAGATTTTAATCCATTTAAATATTTGTGAATAATGAATTTGAGGTAGTCACAATGATACTTCTGATGATATGGATAAATTTAATGACCAAAGATGAAGATAAAGAAAAGCCTTTATAGAATGCTGCAATTAGGTGATAAAATTAAATGGATAACTTAATTTTTAAAGGTGTTTATGATATAACCAGGGAAAAATGTGCAAAACATATTGCTAAGAGTTGCTGTCTTTGAAGGAAAACATGTATTAACAGGGTAAAGGAGAGGTTTATTTTGTAATTTTATCTTTTGTGTGGTAGAATGAATTATTTTTCTTAATTATGCACTCCTGGCTATTTATTTATTTTTGTGCTGTGTGATTAGTGGCCTTCCATGGTAGATGAAGTCAACTACCCATTCCATGGGATTAGCCTTGGTCATATGAACTGAATTAGTCAAAGGAGTCAGAGGTTTAAGTAAGCTCTGCAGTTCATGCCTTTTCTTCTGGGATCTGTTTTACGAAGAATAATCCTGAGAGTTATTCCTTCCAGGAAAAAGATGTGTGGAACAGGCTTAAACATACCCTGTGTCTTTTAACCAAAACTCACGTGGTTTCATCCACAAGCAGACAAACTACAGACTTGTAAACATGAGAAAGAACTCTGCAGCTAGAAGGCACTGAGTTATTAACGATAGTTTGCTCCACTGTATTGCTTTAATAAGAATTCCCCTAACTAACCTTTCTTTAATCATATTTCTGTGTTAAAGATGTCCTGCCATGTTCCTATAAACCATTTTAACTGATGTTCCAGGCCTCTGCTGGAGTCTGGGGTGGAGGGACCTCCTGGTGAGGAAAATACTGTCTCTGGCTTGAGTGAAGACCTAACATTCCAGTAGGGCTGGTTCAACCACTTTGGCAAGGGAGGTGTGCTCACCTTAAGTCATGCTAAAGAGACTGACAGAATAATTAGTCCTTCAGCAAGATACTGGGTGTTTCCTTCCCAGAATCCACACCCCTAGAGTAGAAACTTCTGGACTGAAGTCATATAGGTCTGCCAGTTTGCTTTTCTGAACTATTCAGAGAAGAACACCTTTGTCTTCTCTGTTTTTTTTTATTTAAATTAGAAACAAGGTTGCTTCACATGTCAATCCCAGCTCCCTCTCCCTCCTCTCCTCCCACTGCCTCCCACCAACCTCCCAACCCCCTCCCCCAATCCCCACATGCTTTCCTTGGCACTTTGGGCTCCCTCTCCTCCATGCACAACATTTTGAACTTACTCTTTCTCTAAAGCTTCCCCCTTTCCCTCCTGGCTGTATGTCTCTCATGGCCTGACCTCCACACCAGCCAGTTTGAGTTAACATGTCTTTTCTCTTCTCTCCTCCATTTTCCTCTGGGAAGGTGTGGAGGCTTTACTTCTGGCCCGCCCCACAGTTTTTCTTTAAACCTAATAAAATTGTTCTGGCATTTCCATTTAAGTCTACCCTTAAGTTCTTTTATTAATGAGACGAAGAATATACAAAGGGAACCCTGATTTTCCCATGTATGAGTTTGTCATTGTCAATGGTTATTAGCTAGTTGAATCATGTGCTTCTCAAACACAGGTAGCCTTCCTTCCTTCCTTCCTTCCTTCCTTCCTTCCTTCCTTCCTTCCTTCCTTCCTTCCTTCCTCATTCTTCTTTACATTTCTGGTTTTAGTTCTAAATGAGGCTTTCAGTTTTCAATTACCCTTATTAATTTATCTTTGTTTCAGTCATTGTCCTATGGTAGATAATTTTAGTGATTAATAATTCATTTTTAGTTCCTTTTCCCAAATGTTGTGTCTTTGCTCACCTGCCAGGTTGTAGCAGCATAACAAGCTTCTGGAAAACATAAATTTAATAGTTTTCCACACTGTTGTTTTCTTATGGGCTGGTTGATGTTTGATTTGTTTTGTGTCTTGCTTATAGCATCTTTGGGTCAAATTGTGATGTTAGGTAAGGCAAAGTCACAGCTGCATAATGTGTGTCCTAATGGCTGCCTTGACCAAACCTTTCTCTTTAGGCCACACTCCCATGCTTACATTGAATTCCTTGAAAAAGAGAAGAGTGTAAATATGAGGTTCCAATGCAGGCCTTTGTGCATGCTAGTTTCTACCACCCAAGCTACACCCTCAGCTTTTATTATTTTAATCATTTTTTATTTTAAAAACAATCTTTTCTCATTTTTACATACCAATCCCAGTTGACACTCCCTCCCCTCCTCCTGACACCTCCTCCTTCCCCCATTTCATCCCTATCCATACTCCTCAGAGAGGATAAAGATTCCCATGGGGAGTCAAGGAACTTCTTACTTTGAGGCAGGACCAAGGTCCTCCATCCCCCTTGCGTCTAGGCTGAGCAGGATATCCCTACAAAGAAAATGGGCTCCAAAAGGCCAGTTCAAGCACTAGGGATAAATCCTGGTTACACTGTCAGTGCCTGCAGACTGCCCAAGTCACACAACTGTCACCCACATTCAGAGGGCCTAGTTTGGTCCTATGCAGGTTCCCCAGCTGTCAGTCCAGAGTCAGTGAGCTCTCACTAGCTCAGGCCAGCTGTTCCTGTGGGTATCCCCAAACTGATCCTGACACTTTTGCTCAAACCTGACATCAGGGTAATTCTCAGGCATTCACAAGGATGACGCCAGCTAAGACCATAAGCATCAGTAGAGAGGGTGCCTGAACTGGTCTTCCCCTGTAATTGGATTGATGACTACCTGGTTATCATCATAGAATCTTCATCCACTAACTGATGGAAGCAGATGCAGAGATCCACAGCTAAGCACTGGGTGGAGCTCCCAGGGTCCAGTTGAAGAGAGAGAGGATTGATAACACCCTCAGCTTTTGGTAAAATCCTCTTTTAACAATTCTTTCAATTATACCTTTTGCAGAGAAATGTTCACTAGATAATCTTGGTTTAATAAGAGAGCCTGCTTCTGAATCCTCGTCAAGGGGATATGGCCCTGAAATTTCAGATTTAGATATTTCTTTGAGAAGCACATTTCAGATCTTTTCTGGGTGGAGTATGGCGACTCAGGAACACTTCAGCAATAGCAAATCAATGCTGCAGGCAACCTCACCACTCATCAGTGTTTTTCCTAAAGCCTTTCATGACTGAAAATTGGATTGGATTTAGAGATACTCCCTCATCAAACCTATGATTTTACTGTATAGCCTTTGGGGGGCATCAAGACCCCAGACAAAATCAAAATGGTTCCAATCTGGAAACAGTTTGAAGTAGCGGAGATTTGTAACTTGGGGAAGTACCCTGGCTACATCTTGAGGTGTTATGAGGGCATCATGTCCACCAGCCCAAATGGCAGTGGGCACCTTCATGGCAGTCAGGTCATAGATGGGAGGACGACTCTGTGAGAGAGAAAACAAGCAACCATGAAAAGACACTGCATTAGCAACATGTAAGTTTCAATGAGATTAACGCCTGTGAAATGAGTATCTGCTATGAGCATATGCTAGACAATGAGGGGGGCGGGGAGTTCCCACGTGATGAATAGTTCCTGCCTTCAGGGAGATTGTGAAAGAAATATGCAAGGAATGATAGCTAACTAGGCACTTGAATACAGAGTTTTAAGGGGGATGGGTTTTGACAGGTGTGGTGGCTTGAATAAGATGACCCCATAAACTTATAGTTTTGAATACTTGTTCACCAGTTAGTGGGTTGTTTGAAAAGGACTGGGGAGTGTGGCATTGTTGGAGGAAATGTGTCACTGGAAGTGGGCTTTGAGATTTCAAAACCTAAACTATGTCCAATTTTCCTTTTTTGCCTCATGGTAGTATCTCAGAATGGAAACTCTCAGTAACTGCTTCAGTGCCATGCCTGCCTCCACCATGCTCCCCACCATAATGGTCATATACTCTAAGCTCTGAAAACTGAGTCCCATCTTTTGTAGAGTTGCCTTGGTCATGGCAATATAGTAACGGAAGCATAATGAAGACATCAGGTAAAGATGTATTCTGGAAAGCCCCCCAACGAAGGGACAGTGTGCAGACCATGACCAGGAGTAATAAACATATGACTGTACCAAGCTAAGGAATCTAGGTCTCTTAGAAACTTTGAGAGAAAGTAGAGTCATTTTTTCAGAGTTCTGAGTTAAGACAGATAAAGTATGAGTTGTGGTTTGACTAGAGAAAGCATAAGTAAAGGAGTGATAAAACAAGGACACATGGTGTGGAGTCTCTAAATTAAAGCTCTAGAGACAACTGAATTCTCCAAAGAAGACTAGAGGGACCTGTGGAGAATCTTAGGAGTGTGCCATTGTTTATGAGGGTTGGGAAGATGAGTAGCTATTATAAGGGACAAAGAGGGAAAGCAACTAACCAGAGCATTAGACTACAGAAATCCAGGACAAGGGGAATTGTTCCAAACTTATAGAAAGAACCTCAAAATGTGACAACAGAAAAGGAAATTTACTAATTGAAAGTCATGAGTGACTTTAAGTGGCTTTTTGTGTAACAGAAAAAGACCCCAAATAGAAAGAAAGAGAAGGGGAAATAAGGCTTTTTACTTCTATATTAAAAGGCATTGGGAGAAACAGAGGGATGGGATAAAGATTTCATTGAATAAGGGATCAAAGGAAGACTTGTTTGCTTATGTTTATAAAGGACAGGGGTTCCTGCAAAGTAATAAGAGTAACCGACACAAAGCACTTTACAGATTCAAAGTAATTCCTACCAAAAGTCAAATGACTTTCTTTATAGAAATAGACAAAAATACCATAAAATTTGTATGAAATCAAAAAAGGAAATAAATAACCAACACATTTCTAAGCAGATAAAGAAATGTTTGAGACATCACAATTCCTTATTTCAAATTGTACTGCAGAGTTATAATAATAAAACAAGGGCATGATGACCAACTGGACACAACAAAATACCTGGCAACTAATGACACAGCTACCAAGATGTAAAAACCATGCATTGGAGAAAGGACAACCTTTCTAACAAACGGTGCTGAGAAACCTGGAGGGCCTCAGTTTTAAAAATGAAACAAGAACCCAGTGACTTGCTCTGTAGAAACCAGTAAATTCAAAATTTAGCACCCATATGTTTATTTCATATTTAGAAGTTCAGCTCCAACCATGATAAAAATGGCTAATGGCTTATTAAAAGCACAGTGCTAAGTGAGTCTACAGTTCTATGTTTTGTTTCCATCAGAACTGAGCATTTATTTATCAGGATGCTAGTAAAGATTCTTGTGAAACAATTTCCATTATTATGCATCCTTCCAATTTTTGGTTTAAAAAACTTTTTACTAACATTGGTTGTTTCTTACTGAAATTTGAAATAAAGAAGGAAGAATAACAGGCACATAAAGCTAATATACATGCTAAGAAAATTGGGTAAAACAAAATATTAATATATTTAGCCCTCTGGAAGGAGGGAATGCAAGAAATCTACTCTCCTTAGTGTACACCCATTTTATTTCCAAAAAGTTCTGCAGACTAATAAGTGAAAAACTAGTCAGGACAAATGTCAGAAATTAGCATATGGAATTTTTCTTATTCAAATAATTTCTCAAAGCCCTCTTCTGAGTCCTCTGAGTAGCTCACCTGGTTGTAGTGATTCATATTTTCTGCTTCACTTCCCCAGTCATAAGCTCTGAATTCATCAGATCGGTAAAGCTGGAATCAATGTTTTAGAGAAGATATTCAGGGTAAGAATCATGAGACCTACAGTGGATCTGTGAGAAATATCAAGTAGGATGGAAAAGGGCTTTGTGTTCTCAGAAGGGAGTAAACTTCATATCAACACAGAGAATGTTGTCCAACAGAGAGATTAAGATGATTTTTCTTGGTTTGAAGAAGAATCTCATGGAAAAGTAAGTCCAATTAGAAAGCCGAATCCCAGACACTTCTCTCTTGGAGGAAACTTCAGTTCACTTCAGGGTACCCTTTACTGCAGCTGAGGGCACATTTTACCAGCTCTAGTTTAAAATGAAATTTATTTGTGTCACATACTTGCTCTCTACCATAAAACCTTTCTCTTCAAATCCAGGCAAGTCAAAATCTGGAGAGGCAACAAGGCCCAAAATGGAGACAGTTTCTAAGTGTCTAGAGATGAGCCTGTTGACAGGGGGATTTATCACCTTTGGCATTAACTGAGATAAAGATGGAGTTGACTTTCTGTGACAAAGATGTTACCTGTTTTATATGCAGGATGTTCTGTATTGATGATCCTGTGGGAGCATGTGACAAGTATACATCCAATCGACTCTAGGAAGTTAAAAACAGTCATCCAAGGAAATGAATCATGTGTCAGAAACAGAAAACAATTAAGAGTTTGTAGCAAATATGAACTTCGCTTTCAAAAAGACATTAAACCATTTTTGAATATGTGTCTATGTGAAACATCTGAATATGACAGACATAGGCTGAGCTGGGCATGGATTTTCTAAGGACAAATGAATATGCACTAAGTCTAAATCTTGGTGCAGGGCAAAACAACCAGGTAAAGGGCTATGTGCAAGCACAGGAATTGTATATATGGGTACAGGCATGGTATGTGCAAAGCAGTCATGTAGGCTGCCACAGATAGATCACAGATCCTGGGTTTCAAGTTCACATGTTGTTAGTTATCATCTTTATGACTCTGGTTAAATTATTTAATTTGACTTTTACCTTTTCATCTACAAAATAAATATATTAACCCAATAGACATAGTATTGGGTGGTAGGGGTAAGAAGCAGAGGCAGGAGGATCATTATGAGTTCAAGGCCAACCTCAGCTACAGTGTGAGAGTGTCTCAGAAAGCCACACAAACAAATAAATAAATTCACTAAAAATCATGCTATCAACTTGCTAAGTTCCCATGGAGAGATACATTCTACAAGAATAAAGGAGGAATCTTTCCAAAGATTGCTTTAATCTTTGTGGACATCATAGGGGCAAAAATGTTGCAGTCAAATAATAACCATACCTGTACCTTAGATATTATGATTCATATAAAGGGAAATTATTAAACATCCTAACTCCTGAACAAGGAGTCTTTGATCAGTGGTTTCTCATGGGTATAGCCTTTGAAAGTATAGGGATGAGATGGATGGTGTACAGCTCTTTTGGAGCTGGCTTCATTTGAACTGTCTTGTACCCTTTCTAATTAGTGGTTTCCACATTCTCATTAGGATATATAGCAGGGTTAGCTATGCAACTACTCTACTAGGCAAATTTAAACTCCTTCTTCATAATTTTTCAGGAAACGAGTTGCTAATAAAACAGAACTCCAACATATTCCTCAGAAGGGGATTCCATTTCCTTCTGTTCTGGACTAGACTTCCCATATTAAGCAGTGAATTTTCTTTGAATCCAAAATCATGAATTAATGGCTGCACCCATGTAATAAGTGCACAGCTTACTCATAATTCTCCTTTCGTAGAATTTAAATTTTAGTTTAATTCACCAAAATGAAGTAAACTAAAATCACATAAGTAACAGTGACTTACTAGCATGTGACAACATTCTTAGCACTCCTTAGGAAAGTGTTCAGTCTCCGAACTTTGACAGACAATGGAATGGAATCTTTCCTTCCCCTGTACTCAAGTTCATGGTCTGTTGGGATACTTAATCCTTCATGAATATCAAATATCTGCCTTCAAGGACTTGGAACACCTATGATTTTATATAGTATAATGAAAGCTAGCATTTCTGCAAGCATCGAATGGCCATTTAGTTCTTATACATACCATATTCACATTTTTTTTGTTGAATCCAGCCCACAGGGACATAAACTCACTGCATATTGGTCGGAGTAGCTTTCTACTGCAGATTTTGATGTAAGATGACTTTGCCTTCTTATCTTCTAAAAGGAAACCTTTGGTACCAAAAATATGCTGTGAAAATTTTTAAAAAAGTGCATTTTAAAGATGTCTCCTTAAGTACCTTGAAACTTGCTTAATTATAAGAACAAACCAATATGGACATCTATTAGCATTTGCATTTATTTTCTGCAGTCGAGGAGACAAAGTCACTTGGAGGAGGGTAGTTATCTGTTTCCAAATGCAGAAAGTCATAAATTGTAGTAAGGAGTCATTGAGCCCAAATTCACTTGTCCATGTTAGATCTCTCCTGTAATCTGTCTAATCAGTGATTACCAAGTTCTTGTTCAATGGTAACAAAGAGGAAAGAGGTTTTCACTTTAAGATAAACTATTACACTGAACTGGAAGGACATGTGGGTTTTATCCATATTTTTCATGTGCATATTGGCTGTGTATTACTACCCTAAACTAACCAATCTTCATAGTAAAAAGCTGAGAATGAAACACCAAAGAGAATTTGGTGCTGGGAATCAAATCCTTGATGATGTCACAAGGACAGCATGTTAAAATATTCAGGGCTTGTGAGTGAAAGTCTGGGCAGATCTCCAGTGTAGTCCAGGAACTGCACAGGAAACCAGTAGTGAGGGAGTCATAGAGTTGGGTCTTAAAGAGGCAGGACCCCTGACAATGGGGAATGCATACAGATAAAACACAAACATTATTGGGCTCGCATCTGATGTATGTAAGAAGAGCAGTGCATTTTACAAAATTGATGTTGTTTATAAATGGATGAGTCTATTAAAAATGTCATTAACTAACTAGTTTACTCACTTGAGTGTGTTGCTACAGGAGTTAGAAACAGGAGAATTGCTATAAGTTCAGTGACTGTCATACTAATTAAGGGGGGGGGTCTCAAAAGATCAACAAAAGAAGGAAGCAAGCAAGGAAGGAAGCAAATAATGAATGAAGGAAGGAAAACAGGCAGATGGACAGACAGATAAGAAACAAATTAACTCAACCAACCCTTCCCAGATGTAGATGGTGGTGAAAACTAACCCATGACAACATAATTTGAAGCAATTGTTACATTTCCTCTGCTTAAAGTAAACAGCACAGTGAAAATGGTGTATAACCAGTCTTATGACCATAGGAAAGTATCTTTTATGTTTGGAAGATGTGTTCATTAATATTTCCTTTCTTTCCTACAACTCTGTCCCAAAGCAGGGCATCATTTTCTTTTATAAGAATTATTGTGATTGTGTAATTTGCTATCTGGTTTCATTTTTGTACAGATTTATTTTTAGAATCATTCCAAACTCAAATGACAATGTCAACAAACTATTAATTTTATCCTTCAAGATGTGCTATTTGTGGCCATGACAATGAGAAACCTAGACCAACAGAGAGTAAAACCAAAACACTCTCCATGAATGAAATTCCAAATCCACAATTATTAATTGAACAACTATTTTGCAGCTTAAAAATTAACAGTATTTAAATGCATACTTGAACTGGAAGATATTTGTGGTGATATATTATTTATAATTTAATAAAGATTTCCTGAGATTTCAGGATGCAAAGTCACCCACAAGCTATAGAGGTGAGTCAGTGGTGATACACACCTTTAATGCCAGCAGCCATACTAGATAGCTATAGAATTTAGGTGGTGGTGGCACATACCTTTAATCTTAGGACTCAGGATTAAGAGGTACACAGATCTCTGTTAGTTCAAGGACATTGATTACATGTAATTGATCCAGTCCTAAAAGAAACAGCTCACACAAAGGTGATCTCAGCACCTGGGATCACATGCCTTTACTCCTAGCACTAGGTTGGTGGAGACAGGAGTGATATGACTGGGCAGAGAAAGGAATAAAAAGCAGCAGGAGACAGGAACTGAGAACTTTTGCCTGTGAGGATTTGTGGGGACAGGACTGCCTCTACAGGACTGGGTAGAGATCAGATCTAGAGGTTTGGTTGCTTTGCTTCCCTGATCTTCAGCTTAAAGCTTGAATCCCAGTATTAGTTTGATTCTTCTGTTATTTTGTGTTGCAGATATTGAGGTATTGGAATAAAACTAGGTTCTTTAAAGATCGATGTAAGTTCTCATATGGAAAAATGTGTATTAGTAAAAGTTTTCTAATGTCAAACCAAGACATTCGTAATATAAGTAATTTGAAGAATATCTTCCAATTGGATATTGTGAACTCACTGACCTGCCCAACTAAACAGAACATGAAAATGTATGAATACACAATAAACTGGTGTACAACACAGCTCAGTTGAAAGTCTATGCATGCCTCTTTGTAAGTGACTGAATTTAGTGAATTGTATACAGTACCTACAGACACTACAGACACAGACATACACATACAGGCACTCTCTCTCTTTCTCTCTCTCTCTCAGGTACATCTTCATGGACTCTGATTTCTATTGAGTTTGCCTAAAGTTCCTACTTCTATTTCATACAGATGTAAAAATAATAAGGATCTATGATACAAGATGAGATCCTGAGTAAATTTTGGTAAAATGAGGAGCCTACCTTGATTATGGAATTTGGAAGTAGAAAAAAACTGGTAAAAATGCTTGTGGGATATTTGAATGAGATCACAGGACCCAAGGCAAAATTCATTTTGATTCTTTGTGCCAGTTCAGGCATGGTGGAAAAGGCTATAAACCCTGGGAGATAGGAGACAAGACAATCTCGTAAAAATTCCATATACTTATGCAAAATGTTATCAGTGGGTGTCAGTGGGATTCTGTGTTGCTGTACTTTATCTTCCTACTGCAGTGATCTTGGAGCAGAGTTGGAATGTTTCTCTGAGTTGTTCTGCCTAGACAGTCTGACTTAAGATCTGGGTAGTCCATAGCTTTTTCTAATACTATTGCTGGACCACTTAACTCATTTAGGAGAAATGGCAGTAGTTTTTGGGCATGGGGTGATCTGGTAAAACAGCTACTGCGTGGTGAACTACAAAAACCTCATTTCCTAAGCACCTAAGCATGTTGGTCACCCACAATTTTAAGTCGCTTGGTGAGTCACAGAGCTTCTGGAAGTAAACAGTCAGTTGAAAAGACACAAATGAAACAGTTCTTTCTGTAGTTGTTTGCAGTTATTCTGCAAGCTGCCTTGCCTGTTACAGAGTAAGATTTTATTGTCGTTTTCTTTGGTGTCTTGCTGGATGTTCACACTCCCCACCTACTTTCCAGCATCCCAGAGTGAAGATGTTTCCCTTGGATACACAGTGATATCAGTAAGAACCCAGTGACTCCATTTGTTTTGCTTTTTTCCAGTAGTGACATGACACGATTTATATCCCTGTGAGGATAAGGGTAGGTATCAGTACTGCACTAGTGGAAATTACATGGGTTATCTAGGTGGTTCATTTTCCCAAGATGCATTGCTGTATTCCTGCTGGAGATACACTCACAAACACACATAAAAATATTTGCTGAAATGTTAACACTGTTTGGGTCATAGAAATTAGCTGAGCAACTGACACTTTGCCAGGTAGACAATTTGTACTCAGGATGTTTGGAAATGTGTGGAGGTTAGTACTTTGGTTGTCACACTGGCAATGCACTTTACTGACAGATATTTAGGTGTTAGGGTCAGGGTTAATGAGAAACCTCCAAATGGATCCTTCCCACATTTAGAAATAATTCTAATGCAAATGCAAGATGTGTTTAAGGAAACATGCTCATGTCTAAATGCAACAGGTCTAATTTACTGTATTTTCTTTGTAGCTCAGTAAGAATAAGTCGTGTCCACAAACCGAGTTGCAAGTCAATTCCTTTGCCAGTGCTTCTGATCCCATTGGTGGACTCCAACCAACCCACTCTGAATCTACGTTCTATATCAGCTGGATTGTTCAGGAGATCAAGGGAGGAAAAGTACTGAACACAGATCACTAAACATAGCAAATGCTCAGGAAGTACTAGATAGAATTATGATGTGATTGTCTGGCTTCTTTGGGGTTCTCTTATTGGCATGTTGATAATTTTTTGATCTGTGTTCACCTCTGCCCACTTCCTCTCCCAGGCTTGTGAAACGCTACCAACATGAAGAACTAAGTAGCATCTCTTTTTGGTGATCAATAGCAATGACAGTAATGGATATGCAATTTGGAAATATTATGAGATTTATTGTTTCTTGAAGTTTTATCCAACCTAAAATGTCACAGCTTCTCATGACTAAGTCTTCTAACACTGGAAACTTCAGTGGAAGATCATAACAAATTCAAATCTCTGTCAGTATCATTTTCTTTTAACTTTTAGTTGGAAGAAGAACATTGATTTCTTTTCAAAATGTCTGGGCAAAGCTTGTGGTGGGTATGTGGCTCAGGAGCAGGGTCCTACCCTAGAATTTTTGAGTCCATGATTTCTTGCCCCAGTGTTACAGAACAAAATAACAAATGTCAAGAAATCACAATATTACCTTTAAAAATAAAGAATAAGTTATTTTAACTTTTGAATACCTATTTTGTAAATATTAAATCATATAAATAAATACGGCTAGTTGATTTACTAGAGTGAGTTTTTGTGCTTCAACTCACAAACAAATGTGATCAAGTAGTTTGCATTTGTTCAAATTACAGTTAAGCCCTCGCTTTTAACTTATTTAGAGTGTATCTGGGTTGTGAAGCAGCTGTGACTGATGTGGATTGTACAGTTTATCTGATTTGCTGTTTTGTCTTGTTGTTTAAACTTTGTTTTTTCAACATAAAAGGGCATCTGGAAACTTTATCTTTAGAATTACCTCCCTAGACTTTGGACATAAACTATTTCTTGAGACTTATGTCACCATTACGCTTGTATGTGTAGCTGTGATCCCTAAATTAGGGAAAGGTTGGGTTGCCTCTTCATACTAATAACTTCTGGACTACAGTTTCACAGATACACAGAATAGGAGGGTCATTCTCAGCACAGGACAGAGAATGAAGGACAATATAAATGGCAAACAATTACTTAGTCCCAATAGAGTTGTGACAACATTAGCTCTTGTAAACATACCTATTGTAGTGCCAAGTGAATGTCCAATGAAGTACAACTTTTCTTGACCTGTTTTATTTACAATAAAGTCTATTATCCCCGGGAGGTCGTATTTGGCCATTTCATCAAAGCTGTAAATGAAACAACATATAAATATACACAACTATAGTTTTAAAGCTCAGGCACTTGCTTGATTCTTTTTCACACAGAAACTCTGTGCCACCTACTTATTCAGTGTGTATACCATTATGCACTTAAGTGGATACTATTACAGCATTTTATGCATTTGTTCTGCTTATTTTCTGATAGCAAGAATGACAGGGGGAGTAACATATACTCTCCCAAGTTCTTCATTCTCATTTCTTACACTCCTCCTTGTTCCTCTTTTTGCTTTCATGCTCTTTATTTGCTTTGGATTTCCCTGTGTTATTGATGACTGTTATTCAATATCTATCACTGTTGTCATTTATGATTCTATCATTTGCTAGCTGAGCAATATTAAGGAAGATATTTAAATGTTATGACCATAAGTATGCCCACTTGGAAAATGAACTGGGAGTTTTTATAGGGCTGTTATGGGGCTTGGTTTGTATGGAAGAAAAGACTTGCCTGTTAGTAGGTACTTAATCTGATGTTGTTATTGTTAGTTCTCTCTCTCTCTCTCTCTCTCTCTCTCTCTCTCTCTCTCTCTCTCTCTCTCTCTCTCTCTCTCTCTCTCTCTCTCTCTCCTTAAATATCCTGTATTGTCAATACCAAAATCCTGTGTTCATCAATCATCTGTAGAGGAGATCTAAAAGGATAATATTATATTCAGTATGATCAAGTGCCCCATGAGCTTGTAAAAAGTATACAAGAGGAAACCAACAAATTGATACAACCAAATGTGAGAGAATTGTTGTGGTACTACCCAGAGAAACATTTCCAAGATTTCTGCCAAAGATTACAGATACAAATGGCTCCTAAATTTTGCCCTTCCACACAGCTGTAGCCATAACAACATATTCCTCTCCTTTTCTCCTCCAACTCTTGTTCATGGAAAAATGACTATGAATTGGTACAAAAAATGATGTACTCTCTATTCTAATAGCAGGATGTAAGTCAAGTTGGTGATTAGGTTCTTTGAAAGGGAAGACAACCAACAAGGGACAACCCTGTCCTCTAGTGACAGCAGAAAACAGTTTGTCAAAATAACAAAATCTTTTTTATTAATTTCATTAAAATTTTAAAATGCCATATTGGAGCTTTTCCTAAAACAGTATGCTATATAACATTTTTCTTTTCCTTTCTCTGGGTCTCTCCCTATTATTCTGTGCTGTTTATTTATTTGTTATGTGAGATACAGTCATGTTATTTTCACAAGGACTGAACTATGGCTGGTCTGGAATTAACAATATATCCCAGGAAAGCCTTTAACTCCTGGAAATCCTATTGCTTCCCCAGTACTGGCATTACAAGTTTAAGCCACCATACCTTGAAGTATGGAATATAATCTCAGCTACAGTTTCTTTAAATAAATATAACATGAACATAATTTTTGCAGAAAGGATTGCCTAAGAGAAAACATTACCTAAAAGTACTAGTAGAATTAATTCTGCTTTCTCTTTTTTCCTTTGGATATATGAGAAACCATAGGGATTTTATAACCCAAAATATTATTATGTATTAGCCACAGATTTATACTTAAGGAAACCCCTCCAATTTTCCAGAGATTTTTCTCAGATACAGCTTACCTAAAAGCCCAGAATTTCTCTTCGTTTGCTGAGAGAGTTTTGTGTCTTCTTGACCAAGTGTTCCCCCTACTGTTTCCCATCCACACATCATAGCCCGCATCTGATAGAAGAAACCCAAGGCTTCCATTGGCGAAATTCTCAAACCAGTAGGCGTTGTCTGCAAACAAGGCATGCTGCAGATACACAACTGGCCGGGGACCTGGATAAGGGGCGTGAAGAAAGAAAGAAAGAGAAATTTATAGCCAGAAACACACACACACACACACACACACACACACACACACACACACACACACACATACACACTCAGAGAGAGAGAGAGAGAGAGAGAGAGAGAGAGAGAGAGAGAGAGAGAGGCAAGCACACATGCACACACTCACCCATGCACACAAAGCATACTGTTTCTCCTCTGTCGCTAGTGTATTAGTTTAGAGTATTAAATCCACATGACCAACTGCTGGAGTACATATTATATTGCGGTGCTGAATTGGCTGGTGTGCACACGTCAGATTCTTGACTAAGTCAATTTACCAAGTAGTTTCTATTTCGAGGAACATTATACAGATGTGCAGACCAAGCTTTCAATAATTAAATAGCTTTCCTAAATGGTCTCCTTAGTAACAAGTTTCCCAGCAGAAACTTAAAACTGATTATGTTTCGTGTGAATGCACACATCCGTGACTCTCTGCTTTATGCATGCATTTGCAGTCACCACTCTATGATGCTTTGGCTTACAGTTTTTCAATCCTACCATGGTACAAATCAATACCTGTTCAATATAAACCATACTTCAATTGCAATTGTCATCCCCCTGGTCTAGAATTCTTTCTAGATGCTACACAGGGCAGACTTGTGCTTCACCTTCTAGATAGATAGTCATGGGATAACAAATGCAAAGCACTATAGTACACCGTGTTTTTGAACTATATTTAGTCAAATTTTTTCCTCATGGTATTTTCGATTTACATTGGGTTTATTAGTGCATAATCCCATTCTATGTTGATTAGCACTGCATTCATGGATTATAAAGATGCAAAGTTTTTGATGATTAATAGAGTTCTGCATCAGACTTAGGGAGGAAAAGGTGGTACATGTAAGTAGGCACACACAGACTACTTCCTTGTCAAAGTTCCACCCTGTTCCCCAGCTTTTGCTCAATGGGAAGCATTTGCAAACTATGAAAGCAGAATAAGCTAGATATCCTTCTGCCCAATCCCAGGTTCACGAGTGTTGTAGAATATTATTTTAAGATGTGCTATATTTATTTACACTGTGGAAAATTTGTTTAATGATGCAAAGGTGTGTTGTATTTTTTATGTTGCATTTGTTTAATTCTTTGAATCTGTGTTACTTTGCCTGTCTAAAACACCTGATTGGTGTAATAAAGTGACAAATGGCCAATAAAAAGGCAGGAGAAAGGAAAGACATGGCTGGCAGGCAGCGAAAATAAATAGGGGGAGAAATCTGGGAAGAGGAGATCAGGGAGCAAAAGGAAAAGGAGGGGAGGACTCCAGGGGCAAGCTACACAGCAAGGCATGAAGTAAGAAGTAAAGAAAAATATACAGAAATAGAGAAAGGTAAAAGCTGAGAGACAAAAGGTGGACAGGATAATTTAAGCTAAGAAAAACTGGCTAGAAACAAGCCAGGCTAAGGCTGGGCATTCATGAGAAAGAATAAGGCTCTGTGTATTTATTTGGGAGCTGGGTTTCATGCCCCCCCAAAAGCAAAGAGCAAAGAAAAAACCCAACACACAAGGGAATGAATATTCAATGAAACAAGAGGGCCTAGGCTATTGATTTAAAAAACAAAACAAAACAACAAGAGCAGCAGCAGAAACTAGCACAATAGTTTAATGTCTAAAAACAAAGATCCTAGAATCAGGCGACCCAAATTTAAATTCTGGTTTTCACTTGTTGTAAAAGGCAAAAGATTTATATGATCTGAAGAGAAACCAGAGTATTTTCACTTGTTGTTTGCATGACTTTGTGTCCATTCAAGAAACTGCCTTTTGTCATCATCTGTCAATGGAGATGGCTAGTAATTGATGAGAGTTTTAAGTGATTAAAATATGTAGAACACTACAGCTAGCAAGTAGGTTTAAACTACATCTTTTCACAATTTTCTCTCCTTAAATTTATCCCTAAAAATTCTTCTCTCCACTTTTCTCCCTCAAGTTTGTTGCCTGATTTAATAAAGGCAAAACAAAAAATAAACAAGATCCAGGATGCTCTTCTAATTTGAAATGAAGGTAACAAGGCATTATTTTGAGTATACCCATCACCTAGAATAGATCTTCTATTAAAATGTATTTATTGGTTTCTTGAAATTTAGGTCTAAGTTGGAAAACTATATTTTGTATGGCCGAATGGCCCACATGCCATTCGGAGTTTTCATTTGAAAACTCTTGAATCGCATATTCCTTTCTTAGAGGGGCGGATTATACAGTACTGATTCTGGTGGTTTTGGCTGCCACTGAATATGGATGGAGGAAAAGAAGCTGCAGGACCAAGATGGTAAGCAGGAGTCAATGAATAGTTCCCCCTCCATCCTTTGAAAATCTTTTGTTTACACTATTTCACTCTCTGCACAGAGTAGCTTTCTCTTTTAGAATGCAATTGCCGTGCTTTTGCATGGTTGGCTCTTATATTTCACAAACTGTCCCTGTGATAGTGGCTTCCTGAATGCTAGTTTTCATTCTTAGAGAAGGCTTCAGAAATGCACTGTTATTCAGCCCTGTGGTAAGAGAAGAGACCCATTAATTTCTAGAGGGATAATAAGGCACCTTTGGGTATCTCACTGGAGTCAACTTCATTCAGCCCAAGAAGCCAGTAATGAGCTAATAAAGATAGGTTCCATCTTGGTATTCACACCTGAGGAGAAGGCCTGCTTTTCCTTAGCAAGATCTGTCTTGCCCTTCTAGTTTTTAGAGAAGTAGAAGGAAAGCCATTAAAAGGCCACTGCAGTAACTCAAACTGATTTGAACAATTCTGTCCCTCTCCCGATGAATAGTTAGCATTCAATTTCAGTCATGTATCTTTCTCTCCAGGAGACAAAGCTCCTGTACCTGTGTGTCCAGCTTGTGCTCTCCCATGGGGAATCCTGTTGAGGGTGAGAATGTACCCATCTGCAGTGGTGACTTCATACTCTTCACTGGGGTAGCCATTGTAGATGATGATTTCACTCTGTAGTAGACATAGAGCTATTTGTATTTCCTCCTCTCAGGAGATGCCACAAAGTGACTAACAAGTTTATGGGGTAGATTATATGAAATCTACAGCTGTAGGTAGTTGTAAAATTAAACTTATTACACAAGGTTTTCCTTCATAAAAAATAAACTGCTAGAAGGTATCTACTAAAATATTGGGGATGGGTATTTAGCACTGACCAATCTGAGTAGGCTATTATTTCCTTGTTATTTGTCTTTTGAGTCTCCTTTTGGATTTAAAGATGGTAAAATCCCATGCCAGGAGAATGCTGTTATGAGTTACTCAAATGACTTTACTGATATGAATTTAAAAGGGGGATTGATGAATATAGAAGACACAACATGTTCTGCTTCTTATAGTTAGAAAGTATCAGCTATTAAGTCAAAGGAGCTGATTTACCAGCCTGACACTTGTAAAAATATTATATACTGTTTAATCTCATCCAGGTTTTTCCTATATTAGGGCCGGATCTTTTACAATCCCACCACCCACTAATCCATTTTTATTTGAAGTTGTTTGGACTTACAGCATTCATCCACACTTCCGGATTCACTTCATTTTCCAAATCCAGGAGTTCACTAACACTTAAAGTTCCACGTATCAAACAAGCTGTTGTTAAAAATAACCACATCATAGGCATGCCTGGCACAAAACATTTAATGTTTATGGGTTAATCTTATCCATCTATGCTGATGACTAAAATTAAATAGTACCATGTGGAAAACTCAAAAGGCAGCAGGGGAATTTGGTACTTTATGGAAGAAACAAATACAGTGAAAATTACTTGGAGTGGTAGTCATCTCATGAAGTGAACTTAACCCAGTCTGTAGACCTTTCCAATTTTGTTTCAATTAAGGTATTTATATGACCTCGTTTTTGTTCAACTGTTATTTCAGAAGACAAGTTTTGACAACATGGCAAATTAAACAGTGGAGTCATCTGTATCCTTGCCTTTTATCCCACAAAGCACACGGGAACAATGAATAGATGGATTTTCCACTAAGTCATCAAACTTATAGTCAGTTTCTAGAGATGTGATACTTTCTCATGCACATGTTCCATAGTCTAGCTTGGCACATTTCCACATGTAGTCATATGCAATTGCCATGGTTTAAAGAATCATATCTTCAATGATAGACACACACCATCCAAGCAGGTAAGTTCATCTCCTCGATGTTGCTAAAATTAGTCACCCTATACTTGAAGTTCAGTCTCTCCACAAACGGTAAGGATGCTAATCTCTATGTGTCTTAGTTTTGTTAACATCATTAAGATAATAATATCATGACTTTTTCACAGTGACACAACAGACATAACACACTGCAATGCAAATTCCTTAGAAAAGTTTCTACTACTTATTTTTTGTTAGGATGAGCAAGAGGCTGATACCAGAAATCCATTACTATATCCAGTTAATGTCTAAATTTTAAAAGCACAGTTTACTTTTATGCATATAGTCTCTTACACATCTTACATCTTCTTTCAAATCCAATCTATAGATCTTATACATAATTTGAAAATGACACTAGTAATAGCATCTAATGAAAACGTCAAAGGCACAGTCTTCAATGTTTAAGTTATGTTACTTAAACATATAAAAGTTCCATATATGTGTTACTAATACATCCTCACAAATAGCAAAGCAAAGGCTTAGAGACACTTACGATCTAGCCAAGGTCAGAGAACCACAGGTGGCAGATCTAGGATGGCATGGACAGCCTCATTGCAGAACCCTTGCATATTATGGCCACTCTCATCAGCCTTCTGGTGATGAATCTCCATCTTACCTAGTTAGGTGAGCTTGCCCTGTTCAGAGAACTTCCGAACTTTTGCTTTTGACATCAGGCTGAAGAGTGAGATACAGCTGTAGTGACAGTTAGAAGCTACAGAAATGACAAACAGGAAGCTGGTGGAAATGAGGAAACCTTGGACTATGACACGCCCAAGGCGTCTCCTCGGCACACTGAATACATGATGCACATGCAGATTGGGAAATAGTGGTCTACATGATGTCAAATAACCAGTTTGGCTGAATCTCACTGATGTTTGCAGTTAGCGTCTGTCACTGTTGAGAGAATCAGCAACCTTTTCATGCCGGTGCTTCAAATGGGGAAGCATAATGAGCTCAGAATCCTATCGGACAAAATCAGATAACAGGCTCTCCCCTCCCAACCCTACAGCACCATCAGCATTAGGATGAGAATCCACAGAAACAATGTATGACTGTATTGGCATCAGCTGTAAAGTATGCAGGGAAGCATGTGACTATGAGTCAGTTGAGATGCAATTCAATTCTTGACATAAGACCAGGGGGAGTGTGGTAGAGGAAACAGACCCACATGTCAAAGGACTTTGACCTATAGTAAACTTTGGCAGCAATCAATTTGGTTGTGGATCTAGAAAACATCTAACATCTTTCTTAAAGAAGGTAGAGTCGTATACTTAAAAAGTGAAGACACTTTAGTTCTAAATTCCACAGGAGCGGTGCTAAATGGAGGTGTGGGTGCTGCAGCCTTCTGTGTCTTCCTGTAAATGTACAGAACCTAAACCAACACAGTATAAGCATTTCTATCTGGTCTTACCCTGAAATCCTTTCAGGAATGAAGCTATTATCCATATTTGTCCAAATCCTAGGGAATGGAAAATTTCAAGCCAATGACACAAAAGTGGAGTAAAAGGTGAGTCTCAACTTGTTGGAACAAGAAGAGCTTAATCACTACTTCATATTCATTTGAGCTTTGATAAAGGATTCAAACGTGTTTTGTTCTGATTGACAGCGTGATGGCAGAGACACATGCACTTGTTTGAATGGCTCATTGCTTTGGACTATTAACTACTTCTGACAAACTTCTATGATTTTTTTGGAAGTTCTAGGACACACAATATTGGTTCATTTTTTTGTTTGTTTGTTTTTGTTTTTTCAAGACAGAGTTACTCTGTCTTGGATCTGGTCCTAGCACTTGCTCTGTAGACCAGGTTGGCCTCGAACTCACAGAGATTCACCTGTCGCTGCCTCTTGAGTGCTGGGATAAAAGGGGGGCTTTCCCCCCAATCAGCAGGAAGCACAGTATTATTAGTGTTGATTTGTTGTCATGACATTGCATACAAATAGCATGACTATAATTCAGTTCCTCAAGATTTTATAGATTATAAACTAGCTCAAGTATCCAAAAGATTTTCCATTTGACTTATATTTTAATAATCTGAGGAATTCTTCTTGTTGTTTTGCTTGTACAAAATATGCCAAATAAATGAGGATAATCTTTCGATAACAATTTATCACCGTTCTTATATAATTTTGTTTTTTAAAAAGTAGGTATTCAATATTTAAATGAACATTATATATTCTATATAGCAGTGTTATGATATTTCCTATAGTATTAATGTAATAATGAGTACTATGTAATATTAAATATGGTTAGATACTTCAATCATCATATTAGTCTTGACTAAAATGAACTGAATTGAAACATTTTCCTTACTCCTATGAAATATAAAATAGTAAGTAGCCTCTGGCCTCTAGAAGTTCATTTTTTTCTCTACAACTAAATGGAAAGTAATTGCAGATAAGAATTTAAATTAAGGGATAATATTTAGGAAAAAATTATGTAGTGTTTCTGATATCTCCATCAAAACATCCTATCATAGCCCAGCAAATTGTTTAAGGAACACTGCCCATACATTGACCAAAATGTCTTAAAACAAATATATCTTGAACCAAAAATGACATTTGCCTTGACAAGGTTTACCTATTTTTTTTGTTTTATTGTTTCATCCACTTCAAAGCCTTTATTTCTTTTCTCTTTTGAGAGGGGAAACTCAATGGCTTCACATTCATGGTTATTGTACCTCTACATAAAGGCTTTTCTTAAGAAAAATTACTCTTTCCTAAGGGTTATAGTTTTATCTTGATTAAACTTTAAGTTAAAAGTTTGTCTCATTCTCATAACACAGTAGAAATTAATGGGTCTTTTGAAAAATTCACTATGAAATATTATGCCTTCGAGACAATTTTTCTCTAGTGTAAGACTTTATATGATCGTACTCTACTTTGGTTCTTTTCTTATTAGGTAAATTTTCTAATTTATTTTCTGTACTAAAATCAGATAGGGCTCAATAGTAGCATAGATGTGCATAAATGTGTACTATATGCATATAAATGCTTAATTAGCACAGTTTGGTTAGTGGGAAATACTTTATATGCTAGAATTTCATTTCTTTATTTTTATATGTGGCAAAACTGGTAATTCTCATTATTTATAAAATTAAGGATTATTTTGAGACTTCCTAATAAAATGACATAAAAAAGTTAGTAACAATGTATTTTTTTCACCACTAAACTACACACATCTTCAAAATAATACAGCCATGATAAAAAAACATTATAAAGAAATGCAAATAATAATCATGGTGATCATATACAATGAAAACATTAAAGCTTTTTGAAGAGACAATAGCTTAATCTCCTTGAACACACTCCATACCCATAGAAATGATCCAAGGAAAAACTCACATTTAACGATGAGTTAGGGCTACAATGCCAGTGGCTGACCTTAGTGACACCCATGTCCTGGTAGGTCTTAGGGTTAGGATTGTGCTTATGGCAAAAGTCAAAGCTTTGCGAGAGGAAGAGCTAGCCTCCTTCTCCAAGCAGGTTCACCTACCTACCTTGCTTAATGCGAACAATGTATGTATGTATGTATGTATGTATGTATGGCATTTTCTATAGATCGTGGGTGTTTGAATTCTTGTAGGCGGTGTATTCAAATGGAGGTTACCCCCTCACCCATGCACACAGAACACTTGGCCAGGAATCTTGATTTTTTTTTTACAGTCTCACCCCCTTTTGGTGATAAATAAAATTATAATTGGTATACACAAAAAGATAACACTAGTTTCTTAGTTACATGTTTCTATCTTTTCTAAGTTCATTTTTTTATTTTATAAAATTACTGAAAGACTGCCTTGCAGCGTTCTTATTATCCCTAGAAATAAGAATTTTTAAGGTCAGATTACTCCCCGACCACCAGTACCATCAAAACTCTGTGGATTGAGGTAAGGGAATGAATGAATTAATCTAGAAGACCAGAAAATGAGGGTTAATGACTATCAATAAAAATAGGTTATGATTTATTGAATACTTACAATGAGTCAAGTATCTTACTTTGATATTCTACCAACTTGGACATAAATTCTCCTAAATCTTCCTGCTTTTAAACATTTCAATGAAAACCTTTCTTAATATTACCTAATATTTAACCTGTGAGGGGAAATTTATAGTCAAAATAAATCAATAGCATTCTATGATTTAACAAATTTGACATTATTTTAATAAAATGCATCAAATACTACTACAATGAAAGACTACTACTTGGTAACATCTGTTTCCTTGCCACTCACCTCCAAATTATCCTCTTAACTTGGGACTACGATGATACATGTTGACCTTTCATGCACTTTGTACTCATGTGAGAAAAGACTAATATAGATCCTTTCATAGTTCCATTTTATCAAATAATTATTTTGTCTTTTAGCCTATGCTCTGAAGTTCTTGTGAACTCAGCTGCATGACTCAGCATGTGTGCATACATAGTCATTTCTCAGTGAGTGACATAGCTCCTATCAGGATGTATTCCTTTGATAAGCCATGTACACCATAAGAGGAACTTCTTTGTGAACCTTTGGTGCCTCACTATCCAGCTGTCTCTTGCCAAAGGGTGTCTTATTTATAAGGTCACATCTGTAGCTCCCTTACTTATGCCAAGACATTCTTGAGATATGAGTATTTGCCAAAGAAGTATTAATTACAGGTCATTAAATTACCCAGCTCCTTTGGAACTCAACCAAATACTCCTTAACAGGAGGACACTCTACCTTAATTAGGTATTGATTATTGACTCTGTATCTAAGTGATGTGGAATGTAATTGAGTTACAAGACACACATAGTATATCAGTTAATAAATAGTGCCTCCATACAAGTCTCATAGGAAATAGACAACCTTTACCTTCATTTTCACTTCTCTGCTTAAAAAAATCTTTGTTAGTTGACACTCCAATACCTTCTATACAAACCAGGTCATCTTTTACTTCTTCTGGGATATTTTGTTGGAGCTTTCAGCTTTCTATGATCATTTCATGCCTGATCAAATCTAGTGCTCACATATAGTTTGACAGTCTATTGTTAGTGTACATTATAAACCTGTTACTTTTTCATGCATATGGTTATATCTAGACCTAAATACCAACCATAGGAATATATAGAAAATCTTTACGTAACTAGACCAATGAACTTGCTGTTCTTTGATTTTGAATACTTTTCTTAATTATTTTTGGTATTTAGATTTTTCTTATCCAAATTATCAAAACCTAACTTTGGTAAGGATCAAATGTGGCAATGTGTGTCTTGTATGAAATTTAACATATAGTAGGAACTTTATAAATATTAATGTCTTGTGTCTAGTCACCTGACTTTCCTTCTTCCTCCAATAGATAAAATAGTCCTGGATAAAATATTAGAGTCTACTCATTAAATGGAATAATTGTTTGAATTATAATAATATTCTATGGTCAAAAATTGCATCATAAGAATCAGGATACCATCATGGCTGCACAAGAGTACTGGTCCCTACAGTGAGGCATCTTCAGTATTTTTTTCAGTTTTCACATCATTTTTAAATTTTATTTAACTTTTTACACATATTACTCCCAGATCCCTCTCCCTCCCTTTCTCCTCGCATGCCCCCCACCCCCCCATCTCCAGGGAGGATAAGGCCTTCCATGAGGATTTTTCAAAATCTGTCCTATCATCCCAGGCAGAGCCTAGGCCCTCCCCCAAGTGTCCAGGCTGATAGAGCATCCCTCCATGTGGAATGGGCTCCCAAAGTCCATTTGTATGTCAGGGATAAATGCTGATCTACTATCTGAAGTCCCAAAGGTTACCTAGGCCTCCTCACTGACACCCAGATTCAGGGGGTCTGGATCAGTCCCATGCTGGCCTCTCAGTCACCGGTCTGGGGTCCATGAGTTCCCCTTGTCTAGGTCAGCTGCCAGTGAGGCATCTTCTTTTTTTTTTTTTTTTTTTTTGATTTTACGAGACAGGGT